AGTTCACGGGCGAAGTGCTGAGATCTTTTGGCTACAGAGCCCCTGTGGGTTCCCTTTACCAGATGTGCCATGAAGAGGCGTTGAAGGCTGGTCCAGCAGCAATAAGCCGGTTGAGTGTTCCGTGCGGTCAGCAACTCATAGGTGGGGACAGCCAGTCACCTCCGAATGAGAAGGCCATCAAAGCAGCAATAGCAGAGGCAAGAAGGAACATGAAGTCTGCTCTCGATGAATTCTTTACGCAATTAACGGAAGCTCTCGTACACCAGATGTATAAACAGCGACAGGAACAGGAAAAGGGAAGGGAAGACTCGGCAGCAGGACGCTGGTCCCGTCCCATTCGCGTCCTTATAGCTTTGGATAGGAATCATCCCCCCAATGCGATCGAACCTCGCTTTCATGAGATGCAAGAATACCTGCATGCACTGCAGTCGACGGTCCTTGAGCGCTGCGGGATACTCGTGAGGGTTGCTACTGCTGCGCTGTTGCTACCGCCGGACGTAGCTCAAGAGAAATCCTCGGGGCCACTTAGAACTCCTGTGGGATGCTCTAAGAAGCAGCGCATACCATGGGACTTTCCTTGGTCTGTGGAGGTGGTCCTGCGCTGCATGCATAGGGTGCTGACCCGTGTTGACCATGCTACCCTTTCAGGAAGAAAAGGCCAACGTGCACGGTTGTCAGAGAGCCCTGCAGCTGATGTCTCGGAATCCGATGTTACACAAGACAATAAGGCCCTACACATATGCCTCTCCTTTCTATCTTGCTTTCGAGGCTACTCCAACCTTGACAGATTTTTAGAAAGCCATCCATGCATCGATCACGTGCTGCAGCTACAGACGGTGCTACCGAAGCAGCAGCAACAGCAGGAGCAGAGTCAACTGCCCAGGCAGCAGCTGCAGACTCAGCAGCAGCTACTGCTAACCGCTCTTTCCTCCCTAAGACCGTTCAGTGAACTGCCGGCTAACCAGGATATTTACAGTGCTCTCGCGGCTAGTCTGAGGCAGTTCCCTCCGAATGACTCAGGCTCTGGGTTTTTTCAGCCGAGCCCGCAAGCGAGTGCTACTAGCTGTGCAGCAGAATTGCTGCATCTGCTCGAGAATGTGTATAGTTCGATGGACAACCCAGTGCTGCAACAGCCGAGCCAGCGAAATCAGCAGCCTCGAGAGCAGCAGCCCCAACAGCCACAGGAGGTGCAACAGCAGGGTGTCCACAGGGATATTTCTCCCACCAGCCAGCTTGAGCAACCACAGCGAGATCTGGACGGGGTGATGCCGGAGGATGGCCCTGTGGTACCGTTCACAGCAACGAGCAACTGCGGATCTGACATTATCATGCGACTTCCAACTTTCTTCAGCGTCTTGCTAAATGATGAGAGAACGACGCTCGCCTCGCTGACTGAACAGCTCTTTGCTGCGGCGAAGACTGCAGAAAGTCCGTGCGGCCCTTCGGTTGAAGACATCAGCAAGGCTATAATGCCCGTAGAAAAGCCTCATGTCACGACCTTTTACTTGGGAGGTGGCTCCCTAAAGGTTAGCAGGGACGTGGTTGCGGCTGCAAACGACTGGCTAGACAAGAGGCTGAGTGCATGCTGCGCAGGCGATGCCTCGCATTCGGATTCCGTAGGGAAATTCTCGCAGGGGTCCCTTCCCGTTTCTTCCAATTTCCTCCGCTTGCAGGAGCTCCTGGCATCTCGGAGGCAAGTTGGCCTCTACTTCAAATTTCGAGTGACTCATCTCGTCCTTACGGATTTCGGCTTGGCTTGTGGTGCATTGAGCCCTGTCTGTCCCGTCTTACCTCTAGCAGAGTGCTCTACCCTGAGCACATCCCCATTAAAAGTCTTTTCACAAGACAATGCACCTAATATGGAGGTTGAATGCAGAGGTGTTGAAGGTGAAATGGGAGAGATCGATGGAAGGGCGGATGCATGCGGCCATTTCTGCGCTGCATGTGGGCCTCACGAATGTGTGGGCACTTCTTCTAAAGTTTACAAGTTGTGCATGGCTGCGAATCACTATGCACACGTTACTTTGTGCCTTAGTGAGGGTGTTGCAGCAGTGATGTCCAACGACGTTTTGCAGGCGGCAGACAAGGCTATAGTGAATGGCATAAGGGAAGGGCGGTTACGGGCAGGCACACCCAGACCATACTGCACGGGGGCACCCGAAAATGTACCAGGAACCCCTGAAAATCACGGTGAGATACTTTCATTGGGGGCTCCATATCAAAGTGTTGAGTGCTCTGCAGTAGGAGACAGCGATGATCCTCAGGAGCTCATCGTCTTCACAGGGGCTGTAGTAAGAGGCATTTCCGCACGTTTATGGGTTTGGGTCATCCCAGAAGATAGTCAAGAAGAGCTGGAGGGCCCACTCCAAGCAAGCTGAGAACACTGAGATGCTGAATCAAGTGAAGCAGAACCCTTCAAGGGAGGATATCTATCTTTGTGTCTCGGGCTAACTCTACACAGCGTACTTTCTGGCCATATTGACAAACAGGCTTCCCTCCCGTTCTTTATGTCCATTCCTGAAGTTCCGCAATTTCTTACGTAGCCAAAGCATAGGCTTGACAGTTCCACCCAATGGCAATAAGCCTCCTCAAGCTGCGCTCCTGTAACACCGCGGGTGTGTTTTGTGGGAGTGACTGCTTTGCTGCCATTAGAATGCGTCTGCCCTAGTCATTCTTTTAAGCTAACGTATTAGCTGAAGCAGCAACCCCCGGAGGCAGTTGCTGGCAATGGTAACTTGATTGCAGTGCAGAAATTTTTGGCAAATGCGAAGGTGGTTGATGCAGCAGTTGCATGCTTCCGGCTGACTTTTCCTTGTAGGACAGGTAGAGAATGCATAGCTTCAATAACTTTTTGAAGCCCCCTGTCAGTATTTAATTGCTTGGATTGCCACTAGGAGCCTTTGTAGGGGAGTAGAATGGCGCATTCACGTTCCTTGTGGTAAAAGGGCCCCTTAGTGAGGATCAGCAAGTAGAATGACGCTAGCAGCTGAATTTCAACTTCCGATTCCACATCACCGTTGCAAGAAATGAGGGTTGTCCCAGCAGGAAGTGCGCATGCAGGGTAATTTGCTCGCGTAGTCGCTTTTGTTAACAGCCTTTCCAACTAGTTGCTTGCCGGCAACGCATTCTGTAGCCCCGTTTCAGCTACGCATTAAGCCGGACTTTTCGTACGCATGACCCTCAATTTGTATCTGCAGATCCATGCGCGCAACCTTGTTTGCTGCGAACATTGTTAATCACTGCTTGATTCATATCCTCTAAGAATTCCTACGTGTAATTAGAAGCCATGATCTATGCTTAAGCAAATATACCTTGAACTTGCTCTCGGTTGGATTAAACGCAGCTGCTGCCGCTTGTTGCTTCAAACTAATCTCCTGTATTCATTCTCACTGCAGCGGCACTGTTCGGGCGCCACACGTTTTGTGAAGTTTCACAGGTGTTCCGTCCTGAACTGTGGTTCTTGTGGCTGCTGGAGGCGGCCACCTTGCAGATGTCTCATCACGCAGACGAATTTCAAATACGTGACAGGGGGTTTATCTAAGTCGGCGCAGTAACACTGCAGAGGAGACTGCCACTCATGTGATCATACGTGCGATGCTAAAAAGAATGTTCCTTTGCTCAAGACATCATTTAAAAATGACTTTAACTATAGATGAAGGATAAAGATGTTCGCTCCTTGCCGGGTAGAAGAGGTTGCGCAGCCCGGCTCTCCTTGCAGTTACTTGGATGGTGTTGCTTCGTAGGCCAAAAATTGATCTCGGTATTCCACTGTATATCGCATATCACCAACTATCATTTAACGCTGCATATTGCGTGTTCCCACAATGCAGACGCCGCGCACTAATATATGTCTCCGATTGCTCTCCAGAGGGAAAGGGGTTCAGCAGCTTTCAAGTACGCAGATGTGTCTCGTGTTGGCATTGTTGCAGAACAAATTGGAATAAGAAACATAAATCATCGGCCAGCGGGTTGGGTTCGGGATGCTCCGCGATCCGGCAGTCTGCAATTGCTGTTGCCATACGTCTTTCGAGGTCAAAGATTTCTTTGAACTTCCAGTTAGATCAAAGCTGTTTCCGCTTTGTAGCGTGCTGCTGGACTGATTTGCATAACGAAACGTGAGGTCCGAAGCTCTGCATGAATTTAAAGCATAGTCCAAAAAATCTTGCTGACTTAGTACGGCGCAAGGCTATTTGATAAAGATGCCTGCCAACCGAAGAAAAGCAGGGCAAAACATAGTCCAATATGTTCCCATCCATTCAAATAGAACTAGGAAGCTTCCACTGAAGAACCCCCAGAAGCCTGGTGCACTTCTACTGCCAGCTGATCATTACAGAAAACAAGGAACTCTCCTTTGTGCCGGCCTCCTGCCCGTAAGAGGAAGACAAATGTCTTTGCATTTCAAAGAGCAAGGCGAAGTCTATTGCAACGGACGCATATATGCATCGTGTCTTCATATATGGAGATTGAGATACCTGATGCGTACAGCCTCCAGCCCTTACGAGCCACTGCACCGGCCATTCAGTCAGTCTGGCAGTACCAAATACGGAGACACGAACATTTGGTCTACAAACTACTGTATAACTCGACCAAGGCTCTTTAAAAAGGCACAAGTAACGCAGCGTCGTGTCACCCATTAGGGGTCTCTAAGAGGGGTGTTACCATTGTCCATTCTCCACGGATCCCAAGCTGGACTTTTGAACCGTTCCGGCCTGTTTGCTTTGCACAGAATTTCTTGCTTCAGTGTAACTACCTCACAAGCGTGGGGACGTTCGCCTGCACGATATATTAGCAGCGCGTCAATCAGGCGTTTTATTATAAGTGCACGGTTTCCTGACTTGCGTTGGAATCGCGAAGCGACGATGCTGACATCTAAGTATTTTTCCATGAGGTTTCCCCACCATGCCTGCTTCTGCATTGCTGGGCCGATTACTTCACAAATACACCACAAGTAATCCGCAACGAGGAAACGACGTCCCAAAGTATCCCCTAGGCGCCAGGATATGATAACTCCCTTGCCGATTCTTTCCGACCACGCTGCGTGGCTAATAAGCGACTCAGCCAAGCGCATGAGAACACGAAGCTCTTTTTGCTCGAGTTCCGGCTTGATCAACAATCTCCGGATGGGCGACAGCAAATCGACAAGACTTCCGCGAAAAGTATCGAGCAGTGTTCGTTTCCAACAAAACGGCGTGAGCGCTACAAAACCACGCACCCTCGGCAGACGCCAGTATAAATGCTCTGCGTATTTCCATTCTGCATTGCAGATTCCGACCAAAGTTGCGGGAGACCTTGAGGCTAGCGAAACCTTCAAGACAAACTCACATCCGCTAATGTCGCTGCCACTGGCCAGCAAAGTCAAAGGGCTTGGCAACGATGAAGTCAAGAATAAAGAGTGTAAAAAGCTTGATCCGCATGAAGGAAACTTCACCAATGCTGAGAACCAATATTACAAAGTTCGTGCAAAATCTACTACGCTGTTTATAGGCTGCCAGTATGAAGCTCTAACTGATATCACGATACTCGAAGTAAGGTAGCGGCAACGAAGCCTCGCAGTTCATTATGAAGGGGAAAACGCATTATTGAGGGCATCAGCGGTGGACTCGTGAGGGGGAAAAGCATAGCTACTAAGCGGCTCACGATTGGATGTGATGTTGCATGCGTCGCCAGTAAGCTCCTCTCCTGACGAGCAGCGCCGAAAGGACCCAACTCGAGGGCACGCGCCTGCAAGCGAACACAGCTACACAAAACTCTCGCCTCAACCAAAGCGCATTTTAATCCCACACAACGTCATGGTAAGAAAAAAAAAGCAAACAGAATGCTTAATGGCAAATTCGGGGAGTGTAACACCCCAAACCTACGCAAAGACACTTCATGCCTCACAGAATTGCATCGATTGGCGCAGTGGCTTCTCCAAAGGATTAAAATGTTTGAGGCTCTCGACTAGGGGTCACGACATAGTGAGAAGCAGACACTTTCCTGAAAGGGGTGCCCCACCGCGTGCATTTCGGAGTCTGGGTTGTGCTGTGGAAGCGGAGCCAGCAAAACACCTTGCGAAGACTCTTCAGTTCCATGCTTTTCAGCAGAAAGCCGATTATGTTCCCCAGCAGCTTCACTGGACTGCGGCACAAACTCTGTCTTAACAGCTTCGATCACACTCACGTTCGTTGCCAAATTCCCTTCTATGCCTATACGAGTCACGTTCCACTGCTTGGCTTGAGTTGTCCTGTCGACACGTTCTGCGACGCCATTTTCTTGTTCCAGGTTACCCGCTGGCAAAGCCGCCGGTGACCAGGCTGGAGCGAAATCAACGAACAAATTTGCCATTTCTGCTTCGCTTCCTTTTCGCACTTCTTTCCACCAAGCAGCTTTGCCTAGCTCGGGCTCATTCAGTGATGCTCCATTTTCCGCATCAATTTTGAGCCCCGCATAGCTTGAACATGCTTCCGAAGTACGAAGTGAGCCATTCGAAGCCATGATGTGGGTCTTTGGGCTTTTGATGTTCGCGGGTAACGGAGGATGTTCATACTCCTCCAGTACTTCTGGGGCGCCATTTTTTCTTGCACACGCTCCTTCAGACCAGCCATTATTTTGTGTAACTTTTTTAAGTTGCTGGGTGAGTCCAGTAGTGCCTTCACCAACGGATTCGTTTGAATCCAAATCATCTGTGTTGCCTGCAGTCGGCTGCTCCTTTGGAGCTTCACGCAATCCTAGTACAGACGGCACTGCATCACCCTGTTGTTCCACAGCTTCGCTAGACAAAAATGGCGTCGGCTGTTCAAGCACAAGACCGAGAAACCAGTCTTCGACCTGCAGTTGATCTGCATTCAGAAATGAATCTAGCCAGGGACCAGCTTCAAACAAGTCACCGTCTTTAAATGGAGAATCGGATTTTCCCCCTATTTCTGGTGCTGCATAGTCTGCTGGTAGGTGCAAACCGGCATGCGAGCCTTTCAAGTAATCATGTATGGCAGGGTCGAGTTGCTGAGGAGTCAATGGTTCCAACAGATGATGTGAGGGAAGCTGACGCTGGTCCGCTAGCCATCGTGAGCCATCTACTAAGAGCTCATCCAATTGGAACTGCTCCGCTTGCTCTGTTTGCACTTTAACTGCGGTGCTCGTGTAGGGCTTTGCCTTGTCTTGATTCTGTCTTTTCGCACCGACTATGCCTCCCATGAAGTCATCGAGAGAAGGAAGGCCGAAATCTTCCTTGCCTTGAATTGATTTGGCTGCGGCTAGAATCTCCCCGCATTCTGCCGTAGACGTGCTGGAGGAGTACCAATTCACTCTGTCAGCGCCGCTGCTAGATAAGCGACGCCGGACTTGCCCCAATGGCTTCCCTTTGCCCCTTGGAAAAAGACAAGAGTAGACGAATAGCAAGCCAGAGAGAAGTGATGCAATAGAAGCTATCACGATCAGCTTCAATTTCGGCTTGCTGAGGACAACTTGAGGTGAAGTGACAGGGGCAATGTCACCGCCCTGCCCGAGTGGCGGATCACACGTGGAAGCAACATAATCTCCCCTTTCCCTATGCAACTGATATTCTCGGCAGAATAGTGTGGTTTTCATCTCACAGGTGACAGTATTGATTAATACGCTTCGCAACGAGCCCGTTTATAAACTTGCATTTTAACACAGGACACGGGCGCCTTCCAACGAACGACAGAGTCCATTTAATGGATCGACGCCTATGCTCCGGCGCGGCACTCGCCGCTATGCCCTGCACGATGGCATTGATCAAAAAAGACACCTTATTCTCAGCATGCTGTAAAATTGCCTTCTGAAGAAAAGCACAACTGATTTTAGTCCGATACACGGATGCATCGGGCTACGCGGTGTTAGTCAGGGGACCCTGGATCGTTGTCTCCTCATCGTGCGTGCCATAGCGTCACACATCTTTTCGTGGAGTTCCAACTCCTTGATTTATATGCGGCATACCCTTTGAGGATGCAATCTTTGTGATTAAGCAGTTGGCCAGCCAATTTAGCCCGTAACAGCCCACCTTGATGCTCTCCATTGCTGCTCTGCAACAGGGTCCACTCATCAGTAGCAGCATTTAAGGAATTGCACGCTGCTCCATTGCGAAACAAGCAAAGCCTTTAGGCTAAACGTTTCATGTGATGCCTAGGTTAAAATTTTTACGCCGTTCTCAAATCAAGCTACATAGTGGGGTGTTCGGTTCCAGTCAACATCCGCAGGATGGTCACCACCACTAAGCACTACCGTGACTCTGCAGAAGCCACGATAGTTTTTGTTTATCAAGGAGCTTTTCTGCCATTGGGCAGAGGATTGAGGGGTTACAACTAAAAACGGCAGGGCTACAACGGAAGTGGCAGTCTGCGACGTGCCCGGACGCAGCTCCATCAGGCACGTTGAACCCTCTAGGACACTGGAGGGACTTTCCCTGCAGATACTGAGGTTAAATCCAGGCTAACAGACAAGAATGGTACAGGCTGCGGTCGCGGCTCCTGCTTACACGGATCCCCTTTGGCGTTCCGCACTGGATGCAAGATCGGTTTCATGCGTTGAACGCACACAAACTGGCATCTGGTGCAGAGAAAGTGATGCAACGAACCATTTTAAACATGCAACTTCGCTCTGAGTATCCTTAGATCTCGAAATGGATGCGCTGGCTCCCAGCTGGCCGTTCTGCTCATTTAGGAGAAGACGCAAGGATGACATATGTTTTGCAGTGGGTAAATTCATGGTTGGGTGGCTATTCAAAGCACTGGTGACCCACGTTTCCTATTTCTGAAGACCAACCAGAGTTGTATACTTGTATCCAACATCATGGCCAAACAATACATGTGTCCCAGGCCCAAGTGGGTGATTTGTGAATTTTGGAGTAGTGCACATTGGATATGACACTGATGTTCTTTGAACACGAATTCTGTAGAGCATGATTCATCAATGGTGAAAGGCGCAATTATTTCACAAAGTAGAACTTTGCCGGTTTTGAGCGGGCTAAATAAAACCTGTACCTAAACCGAACCAAAATGTCCCCATTTTCGAAAAATTGGAGGTTTAGTAGTTTCATGGATGCCTCTGTCTAGGTTATCCTAACGCAGTTTTTGTGCTGCTCGTCGCTGCGGGTGGCTCGCCTTCGACAACGCACAGGCTTTTGTCCATTTGTCTTCCTCTGTTCCCAAAAATCGTAGGTTACACACGAATCCAAATATTGGGGAGCGTCGGATGGTGACAATTGCAGGAGGCATGTCAGACTCACTTGTGGCTGATAAATCGAAGTGCTCGGAATAAAGCTGGATTCTTGCGTATATCGGATATCTGCTGCTATTTCTCAAAATTTTCCTGTATGTACTATTTGGCCCTTCACTCCTTAGGTTGACTCCGCAGATGGGAAATCCGTCTCCGTCTTTTGGTGATGGCCCCCCATTACTATTGCTGAAATTGATATCTCGAGTTGCCTTGGTTTGAAAGCTTCTAATGATTACACAGGGAAAACTAAATATATTGCCACCTTAAGTATGCAAATTTGGTTCATTCCATGTTTTTAGAAACTGGTTCAACTTTTTTTCATGGAAAGTCAGGCTGCCTTGTAGGAGCGCTCCTTGCATGAACTGATTTAACCGCAGTTTCTTCGGGCCTTTTAGTGTTATTGGCAAATTTACTTTACTTCCTTTTTGTTTCAAATGCACTGCCTTTCTGCTCACTGGAATTGTAGAAGTCTTTTTGGTAGATGGAATAGTCGTTAGTGTTGAACTTTCCACGGGATCTAGATGCTGAACCTCCGCAAGCTTCGTCGAGCATGAAATCGCAAGCCATGTTGGTTACCTGTCCCTGCTTCTCCTTCTTCGAAAATTACAGCTTAATTCACTAGTTTGCGAAAGCACATTGAAAAATAATTTACAGAATCATTTTACGAACTTCTTGTGAATAGCCGAAGCACCTACATGCTCGAAAGCATGTCACAGCAAGTAGCATGTGCGCTTAGATTTCTGCTACTGTTTCTTTTACAAATTCTGACTTTAGCTGCCGCGTAATTGCTGGTTTCGTTTACTTTCTGGGCTTTCTTTTATCAGGTAAGTTCACAGATTGTGTAAGGAGGAATGCATTCATTATCACATATGCAGCTGCTGGCTTCTAGGCAGTGTATTTTATACAAGAAGTTTCCAATGAAATAGCATTCTAGATTTTCGTGTATTAGCGCCGTTGGCCAGACCACTGAAAAAATGTGCCGGCCGAACCTTTCTGTCGGCGGTGGAACATGAAAAACCTGCGAGGCGCTTTTACTTTTGCTAAGGCTTTCATTCCTCTTGATATTTCCCGAAGAAATGTTGACTGCCTGGCTTCCCTCAATCTCCCATTTGAAATATGGCATCGCTGCGCCTTAGCCCAACCTCGCTTTAATAGCAAGTGCTCAAGCATCCTATTCTAAAATTAGAGCCTTGTTAGGGTTCAGATAACTGAGCATGGCGCGCGCATGAAATATTGAAAGATCTATTGTGCCAAAGATGGGCCAACCTAAGCCAAACTTGCATTCTAAGTTTTGCAAACTTCAACTTATTTTTCTCAGGTCTAACCAATGCCACTTTTGCAACTCCATTTCGTGTCTTTACTTGAAGATCATTCAGGAGTTTCCGTGGAACGAAGGGTTCCTCACAATCGGGTCCAAAGGGGAAACGAATCCTATGCCTACTATGCTAGAAGCTGATGCTATTAGTAAGCTGTTATCACCTAACTAACATTTTGATAATTGGCGACCTCAGACATAGCACTCACAGTGCCTGGTTCACATAGATTTGCGCCATCCTCCAGTAAGACCTAGGGAATGTCTCTTCAGTATCAATGAGCAAACCGAGCTCTGCATTCCATCGAAGATGCGTACTGCGGGGCTTCGCAAGCTGCGACCCACTGTCTCATCTTCCGCAAAAGCTCTGCTATCTTTTGTAGATTCCACCCTTAAGCCAATTTTGCCTTTTCACCTTTGTTTCGCTATAGCTACTGGTGCTCCTTGCATATAAAAACTTTCTCAAAAGTGTTATTTGACTCAAGCCAGACCAGACCGAGCGCTCCGTGATTGAAAGTTTCTAGAGCATTATACAGCCACTGACAACTTTCAAAAAAAATGCATCTTATTCTTCGACCCTTTCCACGTTGACGCAGTATTGCCGTTGCGTGTTCGATATTTTCGTTCACGATCTTTTAATGCGGAAGTCGGCTACTGCAGTTCGTGACTCAATAATTTCTGACCTTCATTTTATCGGCTGCGGGGTTTTGCAAGCCCCTGTATCCCAACGGTTTGTGAAAATATGCGAAACGTCTCGTATTTGATGAAAGTGCCTCAGATAATACCTACCAGCTTCACGACCCAGAGGCAAAGATAGGCTCGTCTTCCTTCGTACTTGTAGTTAACTCGGTGTCAATATGAAAGATGCGCGTAGAAACAAGCAAGCCATGGCTCAAGTTTCATTTCAGTAAAACGATATGTAATTGGCGTTAGCATCAGAGGCAAGGCCAGTATCCTTAGATCTGAAAAGCTTTCACTGCTACGGATTGCGGGAATCGTGACTTTCTCAGTTGAAGCTATTTTGGAGTCTCAATCGCTCTGGCGGATTCGCCTTTTGCACTTAATGCAATAATTGAAGAATCTGGAAACATGGAGCGCTATCAGTTCTGTCGGCAGTAGAGCAATGAAAAGTGATTGTTTTCTAATAAGTCTTGAGGCAGCTTCGCAGCATATGCGCGGGGCAGAAGCTTGCAGTTGTTGCGACCTCTGCTCTCACTGCTCACTAGGCAATTTACTGGATCTTAACAAGCACGCACAGTGCCCGCAAAAGCTCTCTGAATTCGCATACGAAATCGTGAATGCCGCAGTACAGCATGTGCCCAAACACACAGCATAATACCTTCAGCTGAGGAGATATCACACACGTCTCAAACTGCACAGTTACATCCAGTATAGCCACTTACAGTAATACAATGCTTACCAAGTATAGAAACTTGTTGCTGCACAGAACATTTGTGATATACGTCTGAATGAAAATATGCCCCTATTGCTCCAAACGCGTCATCTATGGAATCTTACATATGTAGCAATGAGCAAGGCTACTGTACTGCATCATAATCCGTAATTGTTGTGAAGTTAATTACAATTTGTAGCAAAACCAATGTTCCACACTGTGACAGCGCCTGCACGCCTGCAGCAGACTTTGTCCTGTCTGTTACTGCGTGACCCACCAGAGTAAAGATTTGCATTATGGCCCGGGGCAATGGAAATAGCCCGCCATAGCACTGTAAATTTGTGATGGCTAGGGGGCAAAGAGCTTCGTGTATTTTGCTTAACACAGCATTCTTTCACTGCCTTGGAAAGTTTGTCTGTTAAACCCTCGGTTGTTGTAAGCGGAGGAAATCATGGTGTCGGGAACTTAATAGATACCTTTCATCTGGAAAAAAGTATACGCAGAGTACACCTTACGCTGAAATGGGCTGGGCTTGGCTTTCTAAGCTCATAGTTGAATATGTTCCTTTCCCACGCCACTTGGTCTGATGGCTGCAAAGCACTGCCTCGCCTAGTCTGTGATCCATTCAAATGCAGTATCCCTTTAAGGATGTTTCTAATTCATGCACTAGCCGCTGGTTTGTTCAAAATTTATGCAGAAATTACCCGCAGCGCTGAACAAACTCTTTGTGCCCTCCGTGGTGCGCTGCTTCTGTCACACACTGGCAAATCTGCAGCCCCGATGGGCCTCTCAGTGTGGTCTTACCAAAAGACCAAGCAATTTGTTCTACGCCAGCCCACTGGGAACCGCACAAGGGTACCCAAACAAATATCTTAAACACTGTACGGAAACGCCACCCCTGAAGCCAACTCACCATCAGGGGCCCCAAAGCGTCCAACAGCGTAAACGGCATGTTCCTTGATCTAACATACCAGCGCCTAAGGCAGCAAAAAAGATGCACGAAGTACCCCAATCCCACAACCTGACGCTGTCGTTTCCTACAGCACGCAAGCGCTGTGCCCCACATCATAGATACCGAGAGCTTTGTAATTCATCAGCCTCTCTGAGTTAATAAAACCAGCAGAGATTCAATAACATCAGCCGCCATGCTGTCGTATCTAACAGTCCTTTTTGAAGTGTAGCACTCCCAACGATATTTGGCTTGCATGATGCAGCTTGGTTGTCCAAGGCAACACACTGATCTGCTTTTAACTTTATAACGTACACAACTTAATTAAAAAAACACGCCAGACCAAGGTTCTAGCTATTCTCGCACAGTAAACGGCGCTTTACGAGGAGGAACTGCAACATGCATGCAATGTATGTGTTCTACCTGATCAATACTGCAGGTTGCGTCGTTCATTGAGTTCTTTCTGTTTATAGCAATTAATTCGATAAAGTGAAAACGCTAGTCCAGCAAGAAGTGCTGCTCTATCTAAGTATAGCTTTTGGAGACGGCGAGCTCCAGGAACTATGCTGCTGAGAGCGTCCAGGGATCGCATCTGCCTGAACATTTGGGCAGTCTCTTCAACCAAATGGGCTATGTATGCCGTGCTCTCTTTGCTTGGTAATTTGATGAGCCTTGTATTGTTCCGCAAATTAAGTGCATGTATTGGTGCTTATAGTGAAGCTGCGCGTTGTACGAGAAGCATAGCACCACCTGCCTCTGTTGTAGTTCTTTAGGTGCAGTCGGATCATAGTGTCTCTCCTGGCTGAAACAATGCTGCTTTCCCGGGTATACTTTTCAGTTGTTGCTCTTTTTACAATATTTGCACTGGCACTTGCCTATGAAGTAGAGAGGGCACACCTACCACAGCCTTCGCGCCCAATTCGGCTCATAGCTGTAGACATCGATGGAACATTAACCAAAAACGAGAAATTCGTGGAAAAGAACATAGAAGGTTTTAAACTTGCGAAGAAGCTAGGCATCGAAGTCGTCTTTGTTACTGGGCGGGACCCGGAATCAGCTAAAGCTGTTGTGGGACGGAGCGTCATGGAGGAGGTCGACTACCCCGGTTATCCTGGAGTGTACGTCAACGGAGCTTACGTAGTTGACCGGGATGGACTGGTGCTCGTGGATGGTCCACTGAGCAAAGATCTACAGGAGCGACTTCTTCAGAGTTTCGGCCGTCATGGCTTAAATAACGTTGTGTTCGGAGAGACACCAAAAGGAGGCAAGGGGCACTTAAGGGAGAAAAGCGATTCTGACAGCGACCAGTATACGCTGGCAGTTTTTGAAGAACCGAGTAAGATTGACGATGTTCTTCCACATTTGGTGGGGGAATTCAGAGAAGAGGTTGAGTTCACAAGGTGGGCGCCTCATGCAGTAAGTGTGCACCGGATGGAGTTCAGCAAGGGCAGCGGGCTCATTGCACTTCTTCAGCAGATGCATATTCCATCAGAGGAAGTCTTGGCCTTGGGCAATGGAGTTAACGATTTGCCCCTTTTTGAAGTCGCGGCCACTTCCGTATGCGTAGGAGACGGCGAGGTTGAAGCCGTGCAAGCGGCCGATTACATCACAGTTAATAGCGACGAAGGTGCATTGCTTGCAATCGTACGGGAGATTGAAAAGAATGGATATTATCCAGGCGCATTTGAGCGGCTGCAAAGATCATAGTGAGCCTAATAGAATTTCGGCTGGCTTTGTGCACGACTATGACCAATCATATGTATTTATACTAGTGCATACATGGAGCTGTGAAGCAGCCATGCAGGCTGTGCAGGCATTACGCAGCTTTCCCACAAAGGCAGAAACATCGGATTTTATTGACGGAACAGCGGCGTTATCTCCGGCCTGACGGCGGTGTCTTCATCTTTGCCTGCGGCGAAACTTTGCGGCAGGATGTGCAACAGCCTCTCCTTGCACGACAAAAACGATCGCTTTGCCTTTTTTTTGACTTTGAACATGGAATAGCAACCAATGTTTGAATTTGAATATTTCGGCTGCGGATTTTTAGGCGAAACGCCCGCTGAATGGGTAAAGAGAGAAAACGTGCTAATCGCCTTTGGCGAATTTAGGAGATGCATGTTTCCAAAGGACATAACATGTCACAGCCGCGTCATCTGAGGCGCTTGGCAGTAAATTTACTTCTGGCCGCATTCTTTAACGGGCCAATGCACCGGATTTTATTTGTATTTGTCGTTACTTGTTTCCTGAGAAAAGTATGCTTAATTTGCCTCTTAGCCAGATAAATGTATGCTTAACTGCTCTTTAATCCTGAATTGATGCAGCCTGGACTTGTGCAGGCATCAACAGAGGCCGCTTTTAGCTTCGCAGTTTCATGCTGATCCACATGTCCTGTGAAGGTCTACGCAAAGCATACAATTGTATGTGGTTAACAGCTTCGGGGAGTAGCAATTTTGTTCAGCAAAGGAAAAAGTAGAGGGTGCAGACCGAAGGTCGCATGAAACATTTGTGTTGTCACATTAAATGTTTGTAATGCAAGCCGTGCACTTGTTGGAGGCAAATACACGGGTCCATGCTGGTTCGTCTGGAGCTATGCAGCCGACTTACTGGAGAGCCTTACATCACTGGCTCAGGTATGCTTTTACTCCCCAATGCACAGTGCTAGTAGAGCGGCACGCTTTGTTTGTACAGTTCATGCTCGCGGCACATCAAACTACTGATCACCGTTCTTCCTTACTGGTTACCCAGTAGTGACAAGCTTGAAGCTATGCTCACTTACTCACTGCTGGGGTTGCCAATTAGCTTCGGATTCGATATATTCCTAGAAGTGTCCACCTCGGCAATATTTGCAATGCCTGATGTGTCACTGTAGAGTTCGTCTGCAGAAATTTAATTGTTTATCTGTGAAACTGGGGGTCGTCACCGCTTCATGATTTGAGCTGAAAAGTACAGTTGCAAAGCATGTGAAATGAAAAGATCGATGTGTAGGCAAGATCTGTGATTAAAATATACTTATGTTGCTCAGTCCACCCGGAGGTGACGCATAAGTGTTGACTTGGCAACTGCAAGCAGACGGTTTAGTGCGCAGTTCTGCAGTGCTGCCCAGCAGTAACATGCAGAGGTTTTAATACTTTGTCTTATATGGGTGAGTCACAATTAGAATCTTTTAAGCCGAAAGAACGCAGTTCTTCCAATATACGAGTCCTGGATTGCTCTGTAGCTGTGCCACGGCTAACTGTCTGGGAAGTGACCTAAACGCAGTTTTGCCCCCCCCTGCAGAGGCGTTATCGTGCGCTCCCCGTGGCCTCCAGCGGTCAGTGATAGGACAGAATGAGAGGCTTGTTGAAGTTACCTAGTTTACAAGGAGATAAAGGATTTGGAGAGGAGATAAGCTTAAGACGGGTCCTAGGTCCAGCTCTGGCAGGGACAACTACGGTGTCGCCTGCGCGCCGACCCACCTGGAAAGGGGGTTAGCGGTTCAGACGTATTCCGAATCGGCTCAGATATATTCCGGATCTAACCCTTTGGATTATTTAATCATTTAAAAACGCATTTTGGGTTTTTCTAATTCTTTTGGGGAGAACTTTGAAAAGATGATCGGGCTGTCGTGAATATCTGTTTCGTCACCACCTGTATATATTTAGGTTGCGCTGCATGCTTATCTCTCTTCACGCACCTTTTGCCCACGTTTCTCGTCTACCACAGCTTCTAGGCTTGGCTCTCCCATTTAAACACTCGTGCTGCCATGTCCTTTCGAAGGTTCCGAATACACTACCCGATCCGTTGTTGCACTGTATTGACTTTGTAATGGCTACTGATCCCCTACCGCTTACAGATCACACCACAACAGCGGGCGCGTTCACTATATGACGGAAAATCCCTATATATATGCCTTATCGCACTGCAGTCGAAACACAAAGACGGCGCTCAAAGGGCTATCATTCTTTGTCGGCAGTTGCTATAGAAGGTCGTTATCCACTAAAAACGCTTCCATCTAGGGTGGGTGCCAACTCATTTAGCTGCCTCTCTGACACCTCTGATTTATCCATTAACGGGCCTGCCACGGCTCCTAGTTCAGCTGCCACTTTCCTTCAGTTCTTCAAGTCAACTTTAGCATCTAGCTACGACACTGCCCAGCTAGAGTGACAGGTTGGCCAAGAAGAAGTCAGTAGTCACCTAGCTCTACTGTGAGCAAGTCCACCCCTTGAGCTACTATCTTTTTGAAATTGGCCGAGCACACCTGCTAGTCCCCTCACCACTGATTAGCCTCGACTTCCCGGATATGTACCCATCGCTTTGAGATGCAAAAGAACTGAAGAATGTCAAGTTTGAGCCACGGCCGATATATTCGGTTCGCTTTGGCTTCAGTGAGATAGGGATGATGCATCGAATCGCCGCCTTATAATAATTCCTTTAACTAAACTTCTCAATAACGTTGGTCCAAGCCTAGCTTTGTATACGTATATCTTGTCTATAGTAAGATTATAACTACTATGCTTAAAAGCACCCGCATGTTGTCTCCGTCTTGACAACCAGTTGGCTGCGCTACCGCGAGTGATCTTCTCTTCAAATTTGTTGGCACCGCACGTTCCCGTCCTTGCGCCACCTCCTGCTCCAACAATCCTTGGCCTAGGCCATCTGCTGTGCGGGTTGTTGTGCCTGCCTCTTGAGAAGTACCCTTTGCTGCGGTATATTTGAGCCAAGATAGCAGTGAAGAGCTTCCCCATCACGGTCCATCGAAGCTCAGGATGTGAAGCCTGCAGCGAAAAAGATTGATGTTTTTCATGCATGGCTGCGTTGTTGAGTAACGGGACAGACGTACCCCAATACCTGGCACGTAAGTAATTGATGTATATTGATGCGCCCTGACTAAGTCGGCGTCATACGATTTTTTGTTTATCTCATTCTAAATGGAGCTCCTTGCCAGTAAACGAAACTTCACACGTAAGCCATTTATCGCCTTAAACCAGCGGTCGACTGACTACACCACTCTGCAAATTTCCAAAACCGCGAAGCGTTTCGAGCTATACACCGAGGCGTCAGGGTACGCTATATGCATGGGTGTCGAGTAAGAACACCAACCGACCAGTTTCCTTATTCACTTCACGAACAATATTCAGCAGAGATGCCCGATATACGTCTAAGAATTCCTCGCCGTCGTTACAGCGGTTGACAAGTGCTCCCATTGACTAGGCAATGCAAAGACCACAGCAAGCACCGGCCATGAGGCTGCATTATTCATTCACAGCAGCTCAGCACGTCGAAGCCCCTTTGTGGTCACGCTGCTCGTTGGCTTGACTTCTTTGCCTGGTTTCAACGCAACGCCATTACTTACTTGCAAGACACAAGCAATCAAGTGGCGGATTCATCTTCGCTACACCTTCAGCATACTACTGTGCGCGCACCTAGTAAGCCTCCTATGGTTTCTCTCACTTCTAAGGGTGTGCTCGCCACGTTGGCAGTCATGCCTGAGCAATGCCAAACGCCCTACGAGACCAGGAGACGCTTTTCAGACTACTGAGCGGTTACGGGCAGTTGCAAGAGAGTTTACAGTCCACTTATTGCCACTCTTTCACCGCCCACCGCTCTAACACATTCGATTTATCAAGGCCACGATGCTCCACGCAGATGTGCTCAACGGGCGCACTCTTGAGACACTGCCCACTCGTCACAGGTGCCGCAATCGTCTACAACCCCAAAGTAACACTCACGATCAAGAACCAAATCCCCCTACTCCCCCATGCTTGGACTTTCGCTTACACAAAGAGCACAGTCTGCCGCGAGCCATACCTCGCAGCAGCGTGACAAACAAAAAAAGGCAATCGGCACGACTGCTGCGGACGCCGGCTCATGTTTTTTCTCGATGTGCCATATCTTCTCAACTTGCATTTACTGTATGTCCCGGTATTGCTAGCCGCAGATCCCTCAATCCCTCACTCATGTGCTTCAGAATCTCCAGCGGGATAACGCGGCCGGGAAAAGTCTTTTATTTCGCCATACTAACTACTATTACTGGCAAGGCGTGCTTACCTATATCCTAGCGTAAGTGGAACCTTGTGTTCATTGCTGTTTTTCCAAATTCCTCACACACAAGTGGGTTAGAGTCCTCCAAACGTTCCTCAATCCTTTCCACGGCTGGAGGTACATGGGCGTGCAGTTCATTATGGAGTTGCCTCCTACTGATTCTGGGCACATTTTTTTTTGAGCGCCAAGTTTTTGAAAGATAGAAATGTCAGCGGCAGCAGACGTCATCGAGCTGCCAGCAGACCGTTCCCTTTTACTATTCACGGTTTTCCTTAAGCCTTTTGTTTCTAATCGATAGGCTCGATCCCAGTTAGACCTAGGGCGTCACTTGTCAATCTGTTTCTACATAGAGCTCATCGTGTTTTCTGATTACCAGCATCAGACGGACGTGCAAACAGAACGTGCTGATCGTAGGTTGAAACACCTGCTTCCGGAGTATAGTCAGTCCAATGAGAGGGGCTGCCAGCGGTTTCTTTGGCCCGTCGAAGTGGCCTACAGTAGGAAACGTCATGAAAAGGTTACTCTTTCACCTACCTGTTTTCGTTTGGGGCTATGATCGGCTGGAACCCACTCACGCCTCCAGCCTCGACGCTGTCGGCTTTCTGGGACCAACTCTCACCCTCCAGTGACTATACTTTTTCGGAAGCTCCGTAAGCGCACCAGCTCCTAGGCGTTAAGTGGCAACA